TTGTCAAAAGCCGAACGAGCTTTTTTAATCCGTGTAGAGATTTCGTCAAACACCAACCCATTAGAGGTGATCAGACTTCCAAGACGTATTCGACTACTTCACTTCTTATTCTTAGCTAAGGTGCTGATCCAGCCAAGTCCTGAAGCAACAATTTACATTTAGAGAGGGAAAAACGCATTTCAAACATCCTGGAAGTGTTGTGTAATTGTGACAGGGTATTAGGAATTAAGAGGATGTTATTGATTTTTCTACCAACTCACTGTCTTAAATTGATATTGTTCTGGGTTGCTGAAGTTGACATGGTTTCGGCCTTATCCGTTCGCAAACATTCCATGTTCACCGTTAATTACAGCCTTTTAGTGGTTAAGATACATTCATTCATGTAGAAGAATAAGATCTATGCTAACACTACATATTTTTCCAAATTAAATGTGATGTACAAATCATTGAGTCAATTGCTGCAGTGGCAGTAACTGTGTTATTTAAATAAGGATCTACTCAGTCAGAATTTATTCAATCATTATGGTAGAGAAGAATTATGACACAGGTGAAAGATGTTGGTGTTTTCTGTTCTCTGAGTCAACCAGTCAACCAATTTGATAAACTATGGACAATTATCAGGTCCACAATGTGGTCAAAGACGGTGATAATTAAAAAAAAAATATGCAATCAAGATCAAGGTCGATAGAAGAGATTGTCATTCAAAGGTGAAGAAATCCAGATAGCTTACTTTCTTTTGAAGTTTTGTGCTGATGATCATGTCCAGAAAGATTTTAAAAGCTTCCTGAGAAAATCCCACAGTTTAAAAAGTGAAACTTCACCAAAATGTCATATTCTCAGAACATTCTTACTCATAAAAAGAATAGTTACTTTCAGTAGACTTTTATTTAATGCAAAGGTAATTTAAAAATTAATTGGTTTATGAATCCAATCCAATCATATTCTGTTAGAAAATAGAATTTCAACGTACCAATCTATTTATCTATGGTTTTATTGTTGTATAAGTAGTCGAATCCACTGAGGTAGTTTGACACAATGTAAGTGCTTATTATCATTGACTTATTACAATCATGTGTTTGCATTAATGATTCAAAATCCTAATAACAGTTTTAATTAAGATATCGAAATATTTAATCACTAAAGTGTACTTTATAGGTTTGTCACGTCGTCAATGAAAGTGTATATAAGATATTAAAATATAATTGTTCCAAATTAATAATTAACCGCAAATTGTGAGATAACTTTGTTGAAAGCATGAGTCAATTGATGCCAGACCACGAAGGAAAACCTAGAACCACTGAACGGCCGTTTTATCCTATTGTGGGACTCCTTAGCAGTGCGCATTCACGACCTCGCCTCGCTAGATTCGAACCCAGAACCTATCAGTCTCACGCCAGAACACTTAACCGATAGACCACTGAGCCGACTGGCATCCGATGGTGTTAATGTCTAACTTCAACCAATCCACGAAGTTGAGTAACCATTCACCAATTGTCTTCAGTGAGTTCCTATCTTAAAACAGACGTGATTTGAACTCCACTGGTCACTGCTTTTTATTAGAACTTTAGGAAGTATCTCTTGAATTCAGTCAGTCTAGCTTTAATTGATTCATGTTTTCAACTATGGAAATACTGAAATCTCCACAAAACCTCTTTTGATAAAGATAACTTTATATTGTCACTATATTGTTTTTTAAAAGAACTGATTTCTACATATTTATTGTAAAGAATAGAAATGAAAAGATTAATTGTTACTATGATAGTATAGTTGTTTGTTAGAACTGCCAAATCAAATGCTATATATATTACTTGTTCAATAAGAAGAATGAATATGGCTAGAGGCAAAGAACATAACAAAACTATAAATGAAGATTTACTGATCTATAGGCCATTGATTCTAAACTGATGTACAGCTGATCTATATTTCCATTGACTGAATGTGTACATTTAGTTATAATATTCAACACATAAGTAAACAACTGATTATCTGCTATTCATTCTAACTCATTACTTTATCTAATCTCTCTCTATATGTTTGTTTTTACATCAACTGATTAAATAGTAGGACAGGAACAAAGATAAACATATTGTTAAGTAAACAGACTTATATCTAGATTATACATTGGTTTATTAAACCTACAAAAACAACAGATTTCAAAACCGAGTCAATAACCAAACGTTGTATAGCAAAGTTGAGAAGTGTATAACTAAAAGCTTCAGTTCATTGAATGAGAAACCTGGGAGAAATTTGAAAATTTATCCTAGCAACTAAGGATAAGAGTATATCACTTTGAAAAGTTGATACAATCACAATAAAAAAATGTTATCAAGTTGATAAAACAAAATTAGAGCTGTCATATTTGAAAGTGTTTAAACTAATAAGATACTTTGTTTGGTAATTAGACTAATTTACAACTAAACTTCAATATCTATCTTTCCAGCGAAGGAAGAAATCAGGAAAAAGCACTGGAAGTGGATAAGACACACATTGAGGAAATCACCCAACTGCGCCACAAGACAAGCTCTCGCATGGAATCCTGAAGATCAAAGGAGAAGAGGAAGACCAAGGAACACATTACGCCAAGAAATAGAGAGAGAAATGAGAAGAATGACCAAAAGTTGGATAGAACTATAAAGGAAGGCTCAGGATAGAGTGGGTTTGAGAATGGTGGTTGGCGGCCTACGCTCCATTGGGAGTAACAGGCGTAAGTAAGTAAGTGAAGTAATATCTATCATATAAAAACGAAGGATTAATCTTCAACCATTTAGTAGGCTGTAAGTTTGTAGCCTATTCTATCAACCTTAAATAATATCTTCAACTCTTTCATTCATTCATTATGGTTTAAACCTGAGTATACAAACATTTAATTTCTTCATATGATTTTAAATGATAAACATAATGATTGTAAAGAATAGTTTCATATATTTTTAATAATATTCTTACTTTGTGGGGTCACTCACTCAGAGTTCGGTACTACATGTCATGATACTACCGTCAATCCAAAGTCTTTGATAGATAACTAAATGAATTCTAATTATTGTTCATTGTATGGAACATAGGTTTTCATAGAAGTATCGGTAGAATTGAATTCTATAAAATGAACAGTTTAATCTTGAGACTTTTGTTGCCTTTCAAGATGACTTCAGAAGGTCAAACATCAGACAGACGTAAACTATTCGCATTTCATCATATCTGAGTAACTAATATACAGAACACTAATCGTCTGTCAAAAGCGTTGAAGTATCTTCATTAATATCACACCCATAAATAACTGAATAAACACTTGACTAGAAAAATGTTGAAATCAAGGACAGTAAGAGTACAAAGAAGGTTAGAAAATCTTTAAAACATTAGCACTCACATCAGCCACCAGTTATTGAGAAAATCATAATCAAAGCATTCTCTAAGGAAAAGCTTCAATTCAAGTAGTGAATAATAAAAATAAATTTGGAAACAACGTCAAGGCGAATGTCAAAAGTGACTACTAAGACTAAAGGTTGATAAGGTATTCTGACGAGATAATATCTATCTGATGCTTGCACTGGTGATGTTCTTTGAAGAGAAATTGAAAGCTTCAAGATCTAACCAATCAGCATAGTAGACTTCTTACTTAGTTATTTACCTAATTTCTTACGCCGATTACCTCCAATGGAGCATAGGCTGCCGACCAATATTCTCCAACTCACTCTGTTCTGGGCTTTTCTTTCTACCTCTACCCAATTTTTGTTCATTCTTCTCATATCTATCTCCATTTCTCGGCTTAATGTGTTAATAATATTGTAACTAGCCATAACTGTACGAATCTATCATTCGTGGTAACTTACTATCTATTGTCAATCTAATGTATGATCAACTTTGATTATTTCCTTATTAACTATCAATCAATCAATGATTTAAAGAAATAATAACGTTCTATTTATAAACAAAAAAAGACATTTCCCAAGTTTTATACTTTTACAACTCTGAATTTCTCTTAGTTTTTAGTTATTTAATAATTTAAACAAGTACAGTTGTATTTTAATGCCAATAAACTATAATTATTAATGTATTACATAAGTAAATAGAATTTTAAATATTAAAAAAAAATATATTATTCATTTTATCACTGGTCGGATACTATCAGCAACAACCTTCTATGGGAGAGGACAAACCAGCTTCCAGTTGAAGAGGAAATTAGGAGAAGTCAGAGGCGATGGTGAATAGGATATATATTAAGATAATAACCAAACTGCAACACGAAGCAATCCCTAACTTGAAATCCGGAAGCGGAAAAGAAGTAGGCCAAAGAACACATTACGCTGGGAAATAGAAGCAGATATGAAAAGGATGAATAACAACTGGAAAGGATTGCCCAGAAGAATACTAGTGGGTGGCCTATGCTCCTCCACGAGGGTTAACAGGAGTAAGTAAGTAAGTAATTCCATTTATATATTTAAATGGATATAATGAATGCGGAAACATTAGAATGCACTTAATGTTTCAATAAATAAGTGCTCTTACGAATAAAATAATTATGACTATTTGGCTAATAAATACATTACATCAATATATTAGAGCCAATATAAAACAAATTTGAAGCAATTCAATTTATCTTTTCAGTACTTTTAACATACATGGTATACACACACAAAAAAACGTCAGACACATAAGTGATACATTACTGAATAAATAAAATAACAATTTAAATTAATATATATATAATTTATATAGTTGAGATAATGAGTCAATTGAAGCTAGACCACTATTAAAAACCTGGGAAGAACTGGACTGCCGTTTCATCCTATTGTGGTACTCCTCAACAGTACGCATCCACGACCCTGCCTCACGAGATTCAAACTCAGAACCGTCCAGTGCTTCAAAGTTTCCCATAATGATCTACCTTCAATTGACTCATGAATTCAACTATATAAAATTATTAAAATCTCCACAAAACCCCCTTTTGATAATACATATTTATATATTTATTAAAACAAAATTTGAAAAAACAAACGATTACTTACATAATGATTATAGAAATTAAAAGTAGTTGATATAGTGTTATTAATGATTAATGGGAAATTTTGTTTCTAGGATGTCGTTTTGTTCAAACAAATTTATTATACTGTAGGGTATTTTTCTTTTTTTTTTTCTGTTTTCACTTTTGTGAATGATTTCAGTATTATATAATTTATGAACTAATTTATGAACCCCGGGGTCAATCAATTTTTAATTTATCTAAGATAATACTATATGTATATATACATTTATATATATATATATAGATATTGTGAAAGTCATTTCTATGACCTTCAACATATTCAACCAATCAAATTAAAGCTTGATTATTATTATTTTTTTGGCAATAATAAACACCTACGCATAGGAGATAACACATTTTAAAAAAAAAATACAGATAACATAGTAACACAGGAGGAGTATTATAAAAACCATGTGGATACACTCCACTCATCTATATTCATAATTAAAGAAATATCAAATAGGCACATTAAATAGGCACTTTTATTCATCCGAATTAAATAAATGATAATGTAAACATTTAAATAAAGAATTACTGTTATTACATTTAACCTTAGATGAAAGAAAGAAAGAAAGAAAGAAATAAGGGTTAAAAAAAACCCGATTTATTCCTTCCATCAGTTCCTTATGATTATGATTATGATTATTATTTATAATAATAATCATAAAAGGAATGCAGACAGAATATATTTTGTAAATGAAAAGTACATTTTTAAGTGCTAAAAATAAACAATAATGAAAATATATAATATACACATACATAATCATACAAATAAAAACTGATGCCTAGTATTAGGAATCAATTAAAGTTAAACAATAAAAGTCATTGAATTTGGACTTAAGTGGTTTAAAGATTTGAAGCTTCTTACTTACTTACTTACGCCTGTTACTTCCAATGGAGCATAGGCAGATGACCAGCTTTCTCCAATCCACTCTGTACTCGGCCTTCCTTTCTAGTTATATCCAACTTTTGGTCATTCTTCTCATGTCTGTCTCAATTTCTCGGCGTAATACGTTATTTAGCCTTCAGGATTCCATGTGAGGGCTTGTCTTGTGATGCAGTTGAGTGATTTCCTCAATGTGTGTCCTATCCACTTCCAAAAATTCTTCCTGATTTCTTCCTCCACTCGATGGAATCTGGTTTGTTGCCTCCCACAGTAGGTTGTTGCTGATAGTGTCTGGCCAACGGATCCGAAGTATTTTGCTTAGACAACTGTCAATGAACACTTGTATCTTCTCGATGATGGCTTTCATAGTTCTCCACGTCTCCGCCTTATACATTAGAACTGTCTTGACATTTGTGTTGAAAATTCTGATCTTGGTGTTGATTGAAAATTTTTCCAATTGCATATGTTCTTCAGTTGTAAATATGCTGCTCTTGCCTTGCCAATTCGTGCCTTCACATCTACATCAGATCCATCGTGTTCATTGATGATGCTGCCCAGATATGTAAAGGTTTCCACATCCTCCAAAGCTTCTCCGCCAAGTGTAATTCGATTGGTGCATGTTGTATTGTATCGGAGAGTCTTGATTTTCCCTTTGTTTATATTGAGACCTACTGAAGCTTCTAGAAAGACCTAGATTTGAATGTCTTGATCACCTATTTTCTAATTATGCAAATATTATAGCAAACCTCATTGAGTTATATTTGTTTGAACTGAATAATTACGAATCCTAGCTATTATATGAATACAGTATGTCATTCGTTAGAATATTCTCTTTCTTCTCTACTCTTTCAAAATACCAATTGACGAATATGTTGAAATTCATTCTGAATAATTACAATTTGGATGTATGTTAAAGAAGCATTTCTTACTGTAATGTACAACTGATGCTGAGAATTCCTAACTGTAAAAATATTTATGGTAATGAATTAAAACATTGATAGCAATTATTGAAGTAGGTAATTGATCCCAAATAGAACGAAACATATCTACTAGATTTTGATACTTGTCAGAATCTAAAAAAAATCATCATAAGTATCCGTCTTATTATATATATGTTCAGAGGCTGAGTTATTTAAGTCTAGTCGATTCACGATATTGAACTATTGTATATGTTATTTTCATTACATATTTAGTTACGCCTGTTATCCATCGTTGACGAGCATAGGTCACCCACCAGCATTCTCTACCGAACTCTGTCCTAGACAATCCTTTCCAGTTGTTTCTAGTTGCTATTCAGTACTTCGATGTCTGCCTTCAATCTGCAGCCCAAGATGTTCTTTGGTATGCCTTTTTTAATTTTGTCTTGCTGATTCCAAGTTAGGAATTACCTCGTCATTCTGTTTGATGATTTTCACAGTATATATCATAACCACCTCCCGCATCTTTTCGCAGTTTCCTCCTCAGCTGATAGTTCGTTAGTTCTCTTGCACAGTAGATTGTTGTCATTGGTATCCGGTCAACGGATATTCAGTATCTTACGTAGAAAATTGTTTAGAAATACATGTACTAGTTCGATGATGGTTGTACTAGTTCTCCACTTTTCAGTTCCTTACAATAGAATTGAAGATTCCGACTTTGATATTGGTTGACAATTATTTGAAGTTCAGAATGTTCTTCAGTTATAGAGATGCAGTCCTTGTTTCACAAATCCTTTCATCCAAATCTGCATAAGATCATTCCTGTTGATCGATGATGCTACCCAGGTACGTCAAGCTTTGATTATGTTTCAGAGCTTCTACGTCAGTTGTAATTATGTCGGTGTTGTTTGTGTTGTATTTGAGGGTCTTGGTTTTTTGCTTGCGTATAGTGAAACCTAATGCTGCAGAGGCTGTTGCTACTCTAGTTGTCTTCACCTACATTTGGTGTGTATGGGATGGAAGAGCTAGGTCATCTGTGGAGTATAAGCCGTCTAGTTGATTCCGAGGTGTATATTGAATCCCATGCTTCCCCTGACACGTGGATGTCTTCATAATTCAGTCAACCACTGGAAGAAAAAGAATAAACAGCCTTGTCTGACTTTGGTTCTTACATGGAGTAGATCTATCAGCTGTCCTCCATGCACCGCTTTTGCAATATAGTCCGCTGTATGAATTCCAGATGAAATTGACTATCTTCTCAGCTACTTACTCCATAGTATCAAAGATGGTTTCCATAAACTCCACCTATCCATACTGTCAAATGCTTTCTCATAATCAAGGAATTTGATGTATAGTGACGAGTTTCATTCAATTCATTGCTCAACAATGATCCATATTTTCACGTCTTGGTCTGTGTACGACCGATCCTTATGGAATCCAGCTTGCTGATCTCGATGTCGGGAGTCCACTAAATCTTTCATCAGGTTCGACAACACTGATGAAACTTTTGCTGGTACCGATAGTAGTGTAATGCTTGTGTAGTTCTCACATTTGCTAAGATCTCCTTTCTTTGGTATCTCGACGAGTTGTTCTTCTATCATTTGTTCCTCTTCCCAAATCTTGATGAATAGGATGTGGAGCATGTTTGCAGTTACTTCAATGTCTGACTACAGTGCTTCGGCTGGTATGTTGTTTTGTCCTGTTGCTGCTTCCCCACTCTTGATTTGTCTGATGGCCATCTAGACTTCTTCGATCGTTGGTGGAGTGACATCTATGGGAAGATTTGCGTGTGTTGTTTCGATGTCCGGTGGATTCAGTGGAGCTGGTCTAGTCAGCAGTTTCTCGAAGTATTTTGCCCATATTTTCCTCTGTTCTTGAATCTGAGTGATTGTCTTACTTTCTTTGTCCTTGACGGTTCTCTCCGGTTTACTATATCTCCCTACTAGTTTCTTCGTTATGTCATATATTTGCCTGATATTTCCTACTGCTGCAACTTTTTCCACTGTCGTTGATAGGTTTCTCACGTATTTCTGTTTGTCGGCTTTAATGCTTCTCGTCACTTATATGTTTGTTTAGTGTATTTAGCTTGTGCCCGAACCTTCTCTTTTGTTATTCATATGTTGTTAATTGCTGTCTTCTTTTTTTAAACATTGTCTAGGGTTTCGATAGATATTCATTCCTTACGATGATGCTTCTTGCAACTCGGAACCTCTAGACACATTGAAGTTGGTGCTTCTTTAATTCCTTTCTAGTCGTCTACCCTCGTAGTTTCTTCTTCTTTTAGTAAATCCTGTAAGGCTTAGAACTTGTTGTTGAGAGTTATCTTGAATTCAATGGGTTTGTTAGCGTCTCCTAGGAATGCTATGCTGAACTTTTGTACTGCTGTATCCCCAACTGTTCACTGTTTCTTCAGCTTTAATTTCATCTAGGCAACCATCAGGTAGATAGTTATCTGAAGCTATATCAGCTGCTCTCCTGGTCATTATGTCTTTCATTGATCTTCTGGATTTTTAAGTGATATAAATATGATTGACTATGTTCTGTGCATTGTGATGCATTGAGACTCATGTTGCTTTATGAATGCATTTGTTTGGAAATGTTATTTTTGATACTTTTTGTTTATTTGAGTAGTAAACAGTTAGTTAATTTACTTTCATTGATCGATTCCTGTCATTGTTTGTCAAGAAAATTGCATTTCATGAAGTTCACTTAACAACCAGTTAGATCCAATTGACAATATAATTTGATAATTTATTTTTTAAGGTCAATGCTTTCCAATTGCTGATATTGAAGATTGACACGTGTCAATGTCTTTTATAAGTTCAATTTAATTAAAACTAGTGACTAAATGACAACATTTAAGCAATCTGCTCAATATTCAGATATGTCAATTGAGATCATATTATTTGGACTACTCAACGTCAACAGTGAGGAAGAACAAATCTTTGCAAATAAGGTGACATATGTTGAACACGTTACGATGACGTTAAACTGTTAATTATCGTAATGAGTTTGTCTGGGAAGAATTTCTCGGTTTTCCTTAATAAATACACTTTGCAAAGTATGAAATATGCAGAATCAGTCCTAATTACCTATTTGTAACAAACACGTGTTACGTATGACCAACCACCGACTGCTCCGACGTGCAATGTTTTATGACGTAAGAGTAGGTTGGAAGAAAGCTAGGAGCGGCCAGACCAAAACAGCACAAATCTATGAAATCACTGACAATCGAACTGAGCCATGCTGGTAGGTGTAGACTACCTGGTTAGGATCCGAGAGATGATAGCAATCGATGGTTAGAGATCTTGAATAACATGGCTCAAAATCGTTTGCAAAGGTGAGGGTGCATCCACTCTTTTTTTTCGTCAAATTCTAATCTTCCTAATTCATGTCCCTATCTTTTTTT